GTTGCCACTGAGTCGATTCTGACTCATAGTGACCCTATAGGACAGAGTAGAACTGCCCCATAGGGTTTCCAAGGCTGTAAATCTTTATGGAAGCAGATTGCCACATTCTTCGCCCATGAAGCAAGAGGGGTGGGTTGTGAACTGCTGACCTTTTGGTTCACAGTTGAGCACTTAACCACTGTGCCACTGAGCCACCAGGGCTCCTTGTGCTAAATTTAAGTCTAATCAATTGATGTTGACTGCCTAGAATGTTTGTTGAGAAGGGTTCTGAGGCCACAGCTGAAGTAGGTGAAAAAATGCAGCGATTGATTAATGACAGGCTGTAGGTACAGAGTAAGGAGGCATAATCAGCGTGCCTATGTCTAAGATTGTTTGTTGTGATGTTTAAATGAATTAATACCTATAAACTGCTTAGAACAGGGCCTGACACTATGTAAACACTCAATTAATATTAGCTATTGTTAGCTGCTATTTATCAAATAAATCCCCACAGGAGAGTCCGGTGTGTTTATTTGCACTGTTTTCTCTTTGATGTTGTAAATGTCTATGAATAGGAGGATAACCTGGATATCCTCAGCTGTTTCCTAGAATATTTGGCACACAGTGCAACTTGTTGAAAATTTGAAGACTTCTTTAGACAAAATGTTGATTCTAGGGCTCTCATGTCAGGATAAGGAGAATTGGAGTAACTGGTAGATGAGCAACCTTATTTTTAATCGTTTTACTCTAATACATTATGAGATTGATGTGCAACAGTGAAATAACAATTATGTCACTTATCTGTAGAACAAACATAAATTGTACAACTTCTTAGAGATCTCTTTTTGGTCTGGTTTAACATCCATTTCATATGGTTTCCAAAAAAAAAGGTTCAGTGACCTTGTTCACATTCTGATTTTATCCTGTGAATTTGTGAAATCTTCCTAGGGATTCATGTGGGATGTGGCTGAGGAACTGAAAGCTATGTTGGTGTTTGCTGAACATCGATACTATGGAGAGTCCCTACCCTTTGGTGCCAATTCATTCAAGGTAAGTATACTTTTTTGTTTTTAAGTTTAAAGGTTTTTTTTTTTCTTTAATATAAAACATTTTCTAATTTCATTCCCCACTGTGAGAAAGAAATGATCACTTTAACTTGTTCTGCCTAAACTCTCAGTAAGTTGTGCTTAATCTTTTGCTTTTATATACAATTTGAACAGACTGAGGGTTTTTTTTGGCTATATTATTATCATTTCTAATATAAATCACTTCTTAACTCAGTGTGACAAGGCTAGACTTAGCCAAGTAAATCTTAATCCATGGCTATAGAAACAGTGCAGAGAACTTTTTATTGTTTCAAAAATGTCAGTAGAAGATTCTGTTTCATAAATTATACGCTTAGATTATTGTGTCTGCCACTGGAAATTTATAATGAGTACTCAAATATTTGTTTCATAAGATGTTTTCAAGAAAATATAATCAATAAAATAAGGACAGATAATCTCTGATTCTATGAGGGCAGCTGGCCACTTGGATTCCCTTCTGGCTTTTGCCATTCTCACAAAGAGCCTTGGCCTCAGCCACAGACTCTGCACCTAATGAACTAGCAGACTTCTTCCTTAACTGAGTCACTCCTGTGCTACCCTTGTGATTTTGGCTATATCAGTTTGCTGCTGGAATTGTTATTTACTTAATATTTTTGTTTAAACAACTCACTTCTCAAACTTAGCATTATTTTAAGCAATGATATTGGTTAAAACCAAGGGCTTCATGTACTAGTTATTTTTTCTAATTTACATTAAAGTAAAATAAATGATAAGTATTAAATTTAAAATGTTGATGTCTTACATAATATCATCTTGCATACCACTGGTGTACACATACTATGCTTTTGAGAAATTCTAAGCAAGAAGAACTTGGGCCAATCGTTTTCTAGGCTGCCTATATTCAAAGGAGCTTTTATTTTTGTTCTCAGAGGCTTATAACTAAAATAAATAAAAATAAAACATGTCCTTGTGTTATAAATAGAAAGCAGAACAATTTGCTGATGTTTGGCAGGCTTCATGGGAAATTCTATCCTTTAGCTTATTATCTTGCATGAATATCTGATTAGGAAGTTGATAGGTCCTGAAATTATTGAGAAGGAGCTTCTTGCAGATAGGAACATAACTCCCCTTCTGGGTCCCTGGGATTCATGTTCTGTTAGCAAAGTGGAGCTAAGGGCTCTCTTTGATATGCCTCTTTCCCTGTATATGCTTTATATGCTGTTGTTGTATGCCATCAAGTTGATTTGTACTCATAGCAACCCTATAGGACAGAGTAGAACTGCCCCATGAGGTTTTCTAAGCTGAAATCTTTACGGGAGCAGATCGCCAGGTCTTTTCTCCTGCACGGCAGCTAGGTTTTGAACCATTGACCTTTAGGTTAGCAGCTAAGAGCTTAACCATTGCGCCACCAGGGCTCCTTCAGCTGTACATAGTGCCATGAATACTGGGAGTAAAAAATAGTGACAGACAGTGAGAAGAGAGATAAGAAGTCAGAAAGCGCACATCTTTGATAAGGGGAAGGCTAAACAAGTATGTGACATGCATAGAAAAGAGGTAAGATGGGAACTGTGCCAAATGATGGAAGGAGTCAAACAGAGTGGTGAGACTAAAGCATGAAGATCAAACAGTGGATAGCCTAGTATTGCTGGATAGCTGTATTACTTATCTATTGCTGCATGACAAAGTACCTCAAAATTACATGGCTTAAAACAGCAAAAACCATTTACTATCTCATAATTTCTATGAGTCAGGAATTAGGAGTAGCATAATTGGGTGGTTCTGTCTCAGAGGGGCTCATGAGGTTAAGATGTTGGCTGGTACCACCGTCATCTGAAGGCTTGATTGGGGCTGGAGGATCCACTTCCAAGGTGGCTCACTTACATGAGTGACTAATGCTGGATTTTGGCAAGAGTCCTCAGTTCCTCTCCTCCTGGGCTTTTCCAAAGACCTACTTGAGTATCCCCATGACATGATACTAGCTTCCTCAAAGTTGGCAATCCAGGAGAACTAAATGGAAGCTACAGTGCTTTTTTATGACCTAACCTTGGAAATCACACATTATCACTTCTGCCATGTTTTGTTTGTTAGAACCAAGGCACTAAGTCCAGTGTAAGTTCAAAGGGAAGAGAATTAGTTTTCACCCTTTGATGGGAGGAGTGTCTTAAGAATTTGTGGACTTATTTTAAAAACAGCTTGTTAGCCTTTTTCTGCTCAGCAGGTCTCTGTTTGAGCTCTACCTCCCTACCCTACAGTAGGGAAATTGACCCCAGGCAGAGAGCTAGATGATCATGGTACTTACTTTGGGAGTTTCTGTTCTCTCAGGAATCAGTGTGTTAAGCTGCCTGATAGCCAATGCCTGAAAATAGTTGCTCCGTATGGTTTTTTCCCCCAGTCTCATAGTTTGTTTCACATTGTTGGTATGGCAGACATAATATGTAATTTTTCTGATAATGAAGGATGAGTTATTTTTACTGGATTCTTACCGCAACTTTCCACAGGATTTAGTTTACCTTTGCCTATCTAGTAGCCATTTTAAATGTATCAAGATCTGAAATAAGAGTATAATTTAGGAGTTCCATTAAGTTTGGATTTTCCCCCCATCACATTGCTGTTAAATGTTATTTATGTTTGTTTCTATTGTTTCTACAGCCTCAACAAGGTCTTTAGTAAATATCAGTTAGTAGAAATTACATTTGAATGCAAGGTACATTTTTTCATGAGCTGTTTAAATCAGCACTGCTACTGCTTTGAGTGAGCATATTAGCTCAATTGCCTAGAAATTCTATTTGGAGAAAAGCTTATCGGACTCTGGCTCTTTCCTGGATCCACGCTATGCTAAGCTGCTGTTATGTGCACACTTATACCCATGTTCTTTGTTATTTTTCTTTAGGATTCCAGACACTTGAATTTTCTGACATCAGAACAAGCTCTGGCTGATTTTGCTGAGTTAATCAAACACTTGAAACAAACAATCCCAGGAACTGAAAATCAACCTGTCATTGCACTAGGGGGCTCTTATGGTGGCATGCTTGCAGCATGGTTCAGGATGAAATATCCTCATTTAGTGGTTGGGTAAGTGTGTTTATGCTGGACATGAGCACTTTTTAATGATTGTCAGGGCAAACTTCGAGATTCATTTTGGGTAGAACATTTTCCATTTTATTGTGCTGAAATTTCTAGTTTCTACCTCATTAATAGGTATGTGATTTTTATCATCATTTTTGTTCCATCTCAGTTTTAATTTTAAAACTTGAATTAGGTGAGTTACAGTTTTTTTTTTCTCTTCTCCTTCCTTGTTTTCATTACCATTTAGAGCTCTTGCAGCCTCTGCTCCTATCTGGCAGTTTGAAGATTTGGTACCTTGTGGTATATTTATGGAGACTGTAACTAGAGATTTTAAGAAAAGTGGCCCAAATTGTTCAGAGAGCATCCGCAGATCCTGGAATGCTCTTAATCGACTTGCAACTACAAGTAAGTTTTAGTCAGGAGGATGGAATTGTGATTTTTTTTTTCCTGATTTCTTACTTTTCACTTGTTTAATTCAACACTTCTCACATTTTTTTTTTTTAATATTTTATTGTACTTCAGGTGAAGGCTTACAGAACAGATAGTTTCTCATGTAACAGTAGCACACATGCTGTTTTATGACATTGGTTAACAACCCCACAACATTTTAACCCTCTAAATTCTCAACTTTTTTTTTTTTTTTTTTGTGAAAATACACATAGCCAAAGATACGCCATTTCAAAAATTTTTTTTACATACACATTTAAGTGACGTTGACTACGCTCTTCTAATTGTGCTGTCATTCTCACTTAAGATGAAGGCTTACCGGACAAAATAGTCTCCCATTTCACTTCTCACATTTTCAGTAAGCTTTTATTCAAGTATAACATACATACAGAAAAGGACAAATATCAGAAGGTACAGCTTGATAAATTTTTACAAAGCCAATACATAGTGTATCCAGATCAAGAAAGAGAATATCATCAGCATCTCAGAAATCCTCTCGTGCCCTTTCCAGTCACTCCCTCCACATCTACCAGAGTAACCACTATCCTCACTTCTAGAATCATAGATTCATTTTGCCTGTTCTTGAATTCTTTAGTAATTGAAATCATATAGTATGTATATTTTGTGTCTGCCATCTTTTGGTCAACACTGTATTTGTTAGAGTCATCCATTTGTTTTATTTAATTTTAGTTTATGCATTCTCATTGCTGTATAGTGTTCCATGAAATGAACATACTAAGTTTATTTCTACTGTCCATTCTACTACTGTTAATGGCCATCAGAGCTGTTTCAGGTTTTGGACACTATGCACAGTGCTACTGCAAATGTACTCATACATGTCTAACCCTTTGCTGTCAAGTTGATTCCAACTCCTAGCAACCTTATAGGGCAGAGTAGAACCACCCCATAGGGTTTCCAAAGAGTAGCTGGTGGATTTGAACTGCTAACCTTTTGGTTAGCAGCCAAGCTCTTAATCACTGTGCCACCAGGGTTCCACATACATGTCTAATTGGGTATATACCTATGAGTGGAAATGCTGGGCCAAAGGGTGTGTGTATGTTGAGCTATGGTAGATACTGCCAAATAGTTTTTCAAAATCATTTTACCAAATTACCCTCCCACCAGTAATGTATAGCATTTTAGTTGCTTTACATCCTAGCCAACCTTAGGCTTTTTCATTTTATCTGTTCTGGTGGATGTGTTGTTCGTGTGTGCTATCAAGTTGATTCTGATTCATACTGACCCTATAGGACAGAATAGAACTGCCCCATAGGGTTTCCAAGGCTGTAATCTTTATGGAAGCAGACTGCCACATCTTTCTCCTGAGTGGATGTGTAGTGGTATGATATTATGCTTTAAATTTGCATTTGCCTAATGACTAATGAAGCTGAACACTTTTTCATATATTAAATGGCCGTTTGTGTGTTTTCTTTTGTGAAGTGACTAAGCTTTTGGCCCATTTTAAAAATAGTGTTGTTTGCCTCTAGCTTATTGATTTGTATCAATTGTTTATATATTCTGGATACCTATATGTATTTTTTTAAATTAAGTTGAAAGTAGTATCTCAGCAAAAGGGGGAATAATTCAGAATACTAATTCTGGTAAGATCCATGACTTGTCTATTGTGAGATTATCCAGTTGCTCTAAAAATATTTTACTGAATGTGGAATAAGCATCCTTGGAGAAATAGAAGACTGACTTTTCTAAAATGCTAAGTGAAGAATAAATGATCTATAAAGCCCTCTGTTGACTAGTACTTTTTAGAAGAAGTAAATTCCAACAGTGTGATTCTATTCTCAGGCAGTGGTTTGCAGTGGCTTTCTGTGGCCCTTCACTTATGCAGCCCATTAACAGATTTTCATGACTTCTGGATGTTGAAAGACTGGATCTCTGAAACCTGGGTGAACCTGGCAATGGTGGACTACCCTTACGAGTGTAACTTTTTACAGCCTTTGCCTGCTTGGCCTATTAAGGTAACACAAAGCCCGTTCATCTTTTTTTTATAACACATCTCTCATTTTTTTCATGTGTATTCTCTGACTTTCAGCATCAGAGAGAGGCCCAGGCATGGGGAGCTCTGGAGTTAGTCAAACTTGGGCTGGAATCCTGGGTTCTGCCATTTTCTAATTATGTGACCCTGGGTATTTGCCTAACTTTTCTCAATTTCCTCATTTGAAAACTTGAGATAAAATGCTTAAGTTACAGAGTTGTATGGATTAGAAATAATAATAGTTGCTGTTAATAACACATAATACTATGTGTCAAGTCCTGTGCTGTGTACTTTGCATGCATAATTTATTTACTCTTCAAGGTATGTGTAAAACACCTAGCGCTATGTAATGCATGCCAATGCTTAATAAATGGCAGCTGTTATCATAGTAATGTGATTTAGTCAACTGCTAAAGCATCCTAAGTGCTACACACAATGTGGAGGAGTGATCCCCCTACGGGTGGAGTGGAAAGTGTACTAACTTGCATTCTGAAGGCAGGGGTCCACAACTGCCACTTACCAGCTATCTGTACGATCTTGAGCAAGGTGCTCTTCTTCCACGAGCCTCCGTGTCTTCCTCTGTGGAATAGTTTAAGGATATTTACGTACCTGATAGGGTTGTGGTGAGGATCAAACACAATTTTAGATATGAAACTACTCTGCAAAGTGCAAGGAACTATACATTTTAAGGTTGTTTTCATGTCAAAATGCCTTATGGTATATGCTCTTTTTAAGCACTCCTCTGGAGAGAACGTTCCTCTTAGCTTTAAAACATGAAAGTATGGTCAACTGATAGTTAATAAGTTTAGAGACTGTAACTGGCACTGCGACCAACATGGGTGCTAGAAATGAAGATAGAATTGATAGTACAAGAGCTAGGTCACAAGAGCACTTTTAGTTTAACTGTCTCTTTGAGCTATTAAATGCACATCTTGCTTGAAACTTTGTAACCAAATGGAACAAGTCCATTTGTCATTGGAATAATTTTTCTTACTCTGATGACAAATGGACTCTAGAATGACCCGTGAGTGTCTTGCACGTGGCAGGCTGTAGGAAGTGTATATTGAATTAAATTGAATTTTGATAATCCAAAGAAAATTCTTAAAAAGAGCAAATTTCTCTCATGTTAAGAAAATCTGGATCAAAATAATGGGGAGACACTAAATCTAAACCAATTAGTCTCCTTAAATGTCTGTGTGCTAATAATGCCTTATCCTTCTATTTTATTATTCACAAAGCACTTTCATATATTTGATCTCATTTATTCCTAATAAAAATACCGTGGGGGAAAAAGATATAATCTCAGTTTTATAAAGAGGAAATTAAGCTCAACTAAGAGATTGTGGAAGTGGGATTTGTACTTGGGTCTGTCATTTTCCAGAGCCTATGATCTTCCACTGGATTAGGAGGAGATTTGACAGATGACTTGGGTAGGTCATCTCTCACAATGTGACAACTATCAGATTTAATTCTGTACTCTAGCTGTGTACAAAGTGAGAATTATATTTGCATCTTTATTTGCATTTAAGGAACAAATGAGTTGTCAGAAGATAAAAGCATATGGCAAATTCCCTCATTATTTAGAACAGGTTTCGGCAAACTTTTTATTTAAGGGGCTAGATAGTAAATATTTTATGCTTTGTGGGCCACATGGTCTCTGTCGCAGTTACTGAACTCTGCAGCTGTAATGCAAAAGCAGTTATAGATACCACATAAACAAATAATTATGGCTGTGTATCAATAATACTTTATTTATAAAAACAGGTCATGGCCTGGGGGCTGTAGTTTGCCACTCCCTAATCTAAAAAAAGATTCAGAGGAATACAGCTTTTTAGTGTTAATTAGTTTATTATGATTTGGAGCAGTGAGCAGTCTAACTTGAGTTTCCTTTCCAGTTCTTAAAGTTCCTCTTGAGATATTTTGCTGTTGAGTCTTGAATGTCAATAAATATTCTATTATTTTTCTCTCCTAAATGTCACTCTAAACCATTGGGATATACCTCAAATATTTTGTCATCTGTTTTTGATTTAGCACAATCCTTCTTTTATCTTTTGCATATATTCATTTCAAAAGTTTATTTTCAAGGCAAGATAACATAGTATCTTTGTCCCACCAAGCCAAAAACCCATTGCCATCGAGTCGATTCCAACTCCTAGCGACCCTATAGGACAGAAGAGAACTGCCCAATAGGGTTACCAAGGAGCAGCTGGTGGATTCAAACTGCCATCCTTTTGGTTAGTAACCGAGCTCTTAACCACTCTGCCACCAGGGCTCTCTTTGTCCCACAGTCACCTCTTATTTCTTTTATCCAGAACTAGTTCTTCTCATTCCCTGCAGTTATTTCTTGTAGACTTTATCCTTTCTCTTAACATATTAAAGAATTCTTAATTGCTTATAATATACTTGTGATTCTATTTCCTGCCTCCACCCCACCAGAAGTAATCTCCACTCTTTGCCTCCTGCTTGAGAAACTTCCATTGCCTCTGTCTAGTTCCAATTTCATCCTTTAGTTACCCATCTGATTTTCAGAATTTTTTGACTAATGTCTTCCTTGCAAATTTTTAGTTTTGGATCACTTTCTTTCACTGTTCATTCTATTTCTTCTTTCTTGACCCCCTCTCTGTTCTCCCAACCCACTAATCCCTGGAACACTACCCAGTTGGGGACCGCTCTTTCACTTGGATAGTTCCATTTAACCAGGACTCCTCCTCCCTCTGATACACTTCCTGCTTTTTAAAGGGCTGACAAACAGCCGGTCCTTTTCTGAGTCTGTGACTCAGGCTTTAGGATGGTGAGATAATATGTTGCAGTTGGGTAATGAAAAAAAGCAGGTGAATTCCAGTTCTGACTGGACCATGTACAATTCTGAACGATCCATAGGCAGGGACTCAATGCCATTTTTCATGTCAACTCAAGTATCATTCTTTTTGTCTTTGGACTTTGCATACTCAGACTCCCTTTGCTTTTGTTTACTGCTAATAGAACCTGCAACATTCATGCAGAAATAATCATGGACTTGGCTGATAGAATACAAGGAAGAAGAGAAAAGGAAAATAGAAAACCCCTCTGTCATTTGATTGTTCTATCAGCATAAAAAATCTTTCAATTTCGTGTCTTTTCTCGGCTGAAAGAGCAGCTTTAAAGGATACTGTAGAGTTTGTTTATTTTGGAATCATTTTTTAACTGATAACTCACCAAGTCTTTTAGCTTCGCCTTCTGAGCATGCAGATAGATACAGCAAAATAATAAGACATAAGATGGAAAATGTCTTCCATTCGTCTTGGTGTTTGATAATGTATGCGACCTCTCTGGGTGGTTTAAGCGGTTTAGGTGCATTCTATGAAAAGAGAGCTTTTAATGACAAAACTAATGTGATTATCTGAGTGAGTGTGAGAAGGGTATTGAAGCCTTAGAGAAAGAAAATCTGTTAGAAAAGCTGAATGTATCTGCTTAATCCTTTCTCTAATGTGGATGGACCATACTCTCTGAGAGGAGATTGGTCTTTTTTTTTTTTTTAAACCTATTTTCTTCCTCTTTTAAAAACATTTTTTTGCCCCTTCTTTTTCTCTCTCTTATTCAAATGCTTATTGTCAGAGGCAGAGACACTTAAAGCTTTTAAACAAATCATTATCTTTACTTTCTCTCATGTACATGGGGTCAAAGGGCAGAATCTAAATATTTGGATACAGAGCTGATTAGCTTGGTACTAAGGCTGGAATGTTCTGTTTGCTCCACTATATCTATGCTCTTTATAACCAGAATTATTAAACTTCTAATGCTCTTTTTAAATTTTTCCTGAATCTTCACTTTTGTTCTGGGAAATGGAAGGTGAACAAAGTCTGTCCATTTTAAGTGTTCATTCTTGAGCCTTATATTACTCTGCTGTCTTACAGTTTTTCTTCTACTATTGCATAATTAAAAAGTTCTATAATTTTATATTGCTGCGAAATCCCATCTAAGTTTTCACCTTAAAAAAAAAAAATCAGAAAATATAAAGACAATCTAAGAATCAAAAAGTATTTGTTTAAAAAATTAAGCATGAGACTGTAGATATATTTAAGCAGTCTTTGTGTTATATTTCTCTTACACTATAACTTACAAAGATGGGTTGTGTATCTAGTGGTTATGAATGCAACCTCCAGAGTCAGTTTGCATTTGAATCCCAGCTCTGCTACTTCTACCCTCTGTGGCTTTGGGCAAGTTCCTTAACCTCTCTGTGCTTTAGTTTTCTCATATGCAAAATGGGAGATAATAATTGTAATGCTTATTAAGGTTGCTATGAGAATTTAATAGGACTTGGTTGCTATGAGTTGGAATCAACTTGACTTCAACAAGTTTTTTTTTTTTCTAGTGTTCAGTAGAAGCCCTGTTGGCACAGTGGTTAAGACCTAAGGCTGCTAACCAAAAGGTCGGCAGTTCGAATCCACCAGCTACTCCTTGGAAACCCTAATGGGCAGTTCTGCTCTGTCTTATAGGGTCGCTATGAGTCGGGATCAACCCAACAGCAATGGGTTTGGTTTGGCTGGTGTACAGTAGGTGCTCGATCAATGCTAATCATTGTATAGCAATAATAGTTATTGTTATTATTATAATATTGAGGAGGCAGATTGTTAAATCAGGACTTTGTGGTCAGACATAGTCTGGGTTCAGAACCTATATTCACAATTTTTTAATTGAGTGTCTGTAGCCAAACCTCCCTGAGCTTGTTTTCTCCTCCGTGAAATGGGAATGGTCATTATATGTCACTCCCTGAGTTGTTGTCGAGAAAGTACTTGGCTTCAAGGAGGACTAAGTAGTTGTACTAGCAGCCTCAGCAGCTCCAGTTGCCCCCATATCAGTGCATTTATGGCATAAGTAGGAATGGTATGCCTTATGTAAAAATTGTTTAGAAGAAGCCTATTTCTGGTGCCCACAAAATAAATAGAAAGTATAGAGCAGAAGCTACCTGACTGTTGAGTATTTTAGAAGAAGGTAGTTGTCAGA